TTATAGCAAACTTAAGTAACTTACTGAAATATACTATTTCGTTGTGTACACCATACATATTTTTTTAACACTTTTGCAGACATCAAAACTTTTTATATATTTCTTACGTTTTTTTTTTTGTGTAACGTTATACATATCAGTTTTACAAATCTATATTATATTATAGATAATAATAGTCACGACCTAGTTAAGTATAGTTTTGCCAGTGAAACCATGTTATGGTAAAAAACTTGTTTAACAAACAAATATGTAGTAACATATATAATAGTATTATTCGATATAAACCATTAAACTTGTTAAGGAAGAAGAGAGCTTTAAACATATTGGGCGACATATATTCTTCCATAGTAGGTATTAAGATTTCTTTATCCCTTAATTAAATACAACATACTGTTTAGTTTGTTCTTGTTAGTTGTTTATATATGCAATTTGCAGTCGTTAAAATAGCTGACATTACTTTTCAATTAATCGATTAATTTGTGAACTTATATATTTGATTTGTTTTGCTTAAGGGTCGTAAAATACAAAACATTCATGTCGAAAAGAAATGTCTTCTTTATATTTATAATAATATTTCTTCGATTAAGCTAACATCATGGTAAATAATTTCCAACGCAATTGAATCGATTAAAAAATTATCAGTTGAGCGGGTAATAATTATTAAGGATGGTTTTATGCAAACAAAATTGTTAACCTCTATAGCGGATGTAATAGACGGATAAAAAAAACGCTGTTCTTAAATCTAATTAAATTCATGTTGTATTGAAAGGATACCGGATACGATCTGTGCTATTATTATTATTATAATATTTATCATATATTACGCTGTTTGTGGATTTACCGGACAAGACCGAGGAAAACATATTTTTTTTCTGCAGCCTTAGAAATACATACTGTACAAGCTTATCGTAGGTATTAATCTAAAGCCAAACATCCATAAACGGTTATTAGACATTTACCTTGTTAATATTTTTTTATTATTATTATTAATATAAATAATAATAATAATTATATTCATGATTTATATCTTGCGCGGGGCGGTTATTAAATGGCGAACCATATATCATACCTAGTTATGTGATATGCGACGGAATAACTAATAATATTAAACGACAGTAGCAAAAAAAAAAACCTATATCATCCGCCAAACGTCCATATTTCATTTGAAAATGCATTTTTTTATTCGTTAATTTAAAATTATCTTACAGAATTATACCATACCGGTCGGATTAACAACAGATCAAATTTAAATTTTGCTACTTTCTAGGACCACCATATGATTTTTTTAGCAATAATAGTTCTCAAAGATTATTAATATTTACCTTGGCAATACAATCGATAAGTCATATTATAAATTCACATGTAACACAACACATTGCTAATATATTATAGTATAATAATTTATCAAACTCGTTCTGCTTATAAACATTACAAGTGTATTTTCAAATATTTGAAAACGACCGAGTGAATGATGATTGGTGTATTTGAATACTGAATAGTTGTAAAAAAAAGGTTTGTTCATGTGTACGAGTATTTGCCATTGGGTTCAACATATTTATATGTTTTATGATTTTTAACAATTGTATTATACATTTTTTTTGTTTTTTTTTGTACTTTTGCCTGTATTATAAATAAATAAATTGTAAATGGTAATCGTAAAAATTATCATCATTATTGTTCATTTGAATAAAGAATATTATGAGCATTTACAAGAATGTTTTTACTAACTAATGTAATTGTGAAATTTTGGTATTTTTTAAATCAGTGAATTGAAATAGTTTGTCCGAACAAAATCAATTATTTATGCAAAACATAATAACATTATCTGATTATAAAATATAGCTAGGTACTTATAATTAGCAAAAAGTAAAAAGTTTGATCAATTTTAAAATATTATTCAAAAATATAGCCACATCCCATGTGTTAAACATTGATGTTAATTTTATATATTTTTTTTTGTTAATAATAAAAACCCGTACCGCCTCGGAACGTATTGTAATAATATAATAATATGTACCAGGTACCTACTATCCGTCGTTTGTCAATGAAAGACCAATTGTGTTTTAAACGACCGGATTTTATGCAATTTATGTAATTTGCCATTCTAAACGATACCCAAATAACGTATTAGTCGTTTCTTAAAGACCGCTACTTAGGTATGTACATAAATTATATTTTTAATATTGTTTCTTTTTAATTATTACTCTTTTGTTATTTGCTTAATTTTATTAATATGATTTATGCCACCGACTAAATTATACGTCCGCTAACACATAGGTACACAAACTAACATTCTATGAATATACATTTTCGAATTTCCTGCCCGTTAATTATTCAAACCCGGTGTATATAAGTAATAATAACACGAGTGGATCCAGTTGTTCAGGAATTTGTCGGTAATATAAATGATACTAATTAATAAAACGGTACGTACATCACTCGTGGCCGGTCATTGGGTCATTAGCATTAAACAAAGTAAACACATCACACAAATGGCTTTCAGAAAATAATCCTACAAAAAAAAAAATTAATAATATGTTCCAAGGTGCAACGTTATCTCGTGTGTAATAGCCCTGGCGTGTAATATTTTTAATCATACACATGAAAGTAATTACATCATTGCTCTCGCACAATTATTTTGGTTTGTTATAATAAAATACCAAATTATAATATGCATATTATTATACATATAATATTATTAAAAACTAGTTAGTAGACTATAAAATGCGTTTATAGACTACTTTGGTTAACGACTAGTAGACAAATATGGTAAAAATTATTCTTAGTTCAAAAAGCTCATAAAATATATAGGTTGCCATTTATGAAGCTTATTAGTTTAATATTTATAAGGTTTTAAGAAACGTTTCAACCTCTAGACAAAAATAAAATCAGAAATAAAGCATAGATAACATATTAATCCGTTAATCTGAAACATTTGTTGTGGTGTGTCACTTTAGTTATGAGGTATTATAAGATACAATATTATAACAAGGGCATTTTTAAGGGTGTGCACTACCCCTATCTATCGTACCACAAAAAAGAAAACCTACAACAAATTATATACTTTGATAAAAGAGGATTATCATAATATTATATTTGTTTGTCAAATGGTAAACTTTATCGATTCAAATTTATGAGTGCACTAAAATTTGATAGTTAACAACTAACGTGATACAAAACACGGTTTAGGAGCAAAATACGGTTGTACATACATAAGATATGATATATTTGTTTTAAACAAGTATATGCAATTATTTGAACATGAATAAAGTAACACAAATATAAGTAAAATAATTTATTAAAAATTAAATATTTGCACATGCATTAATTTAGTATTTTGAAAGATAAAATTAGTTATTTGGTAAAAACAATATTATTGAACAAGAATGAATTTTTGATCTTGATAAAATGTACTAAAACAAATGTTTACTTTGAATAATTCTGAAAGATTGCTTTCACTCAAAATAATATATATTTGTAAAGGGTCATAAAACACACTTTTAAAATTATATTGTTGTTATTTTTTCGACGAGCTTTGAAATTTACAGAATTATTAGTTATTAAATTAAATACAAATTTAATTTTTCTACGTCGCAACTTTCAAGTCAAGGCATACAAAGGTTTGAGTGAAAAACAAATTTATATAAATTGAAAATATCACTTAAAACTGTAATGTAACGAAAACAAGTTCTTATATTAACGATATAGGTAATATTATTATACCCAAACACGTACAACAATATCTTTCTGGGCAGACAACTGTTATTTGCACAAACAAACTCAACGTTGCACTCTCCTTATCCACTGAACCGATTTCATCATGCAGCAAGTTTTTAGATCAGAAATTGTTCTTGAAAGTAACTCTAGTTGACAAAAATATAAAAAGTCCAACTTGAGTGAGTTAATCTTTTGTTTATACCACATTCAATAGACATTGACAAACCAAAAAAATTGTATTATTAAACAATATTCGACTTTTTTTATCTTGTGTGCTGTATTGAAATTTAATCTAACCGAGAAGTGTTATAACTTAAAATTTCTATTTAATACTAATTGTTTATGTATACGGGGAGATCAATTCTGTCAGCACATTATGTCATTGCAGTTCTTTAAGTGATATAATATTAATATATATTATATATATTTTTAAAACCTTTTTATTTATGCTATTTTATAATACGTATTATAAAATTACCAAATAATGTTCATCTGGTTTAGTATTTTCCAGAGCGCTATCAACTTTTAAACATAAAACTTGTAAAATCAAACACAGGCCAAATCTTTTATATCTAATATCTTATTAAAAATCAAATTTCTCAATTAAAAAAATAAAATAAAAATGCTAAACAAATTTATTAATCTCTATGTATAAAAATGTATTATGTATGTTCGAACATACCAGCTCTGAAACGCCTGACACAATTTCAACCAAACTAGGTACCCGACATAATAATATTATAAGTATTATGACTGGTGAAGTATTAAGTGAAGATGGAATAGGGTGACATGTTAAAAATAATCTAAAACTACCTATATTGTGATGACAAATCCATAGTTTTGTGAATAAAATATAAATACCTAGGGAAAGTCGGGTGAACCCAAGGGTACCCATAGGTAAAAATTTAGGGTTATCATTTTGTAATGAATTTTTGGGGTAATTTCTCCCACCACTGTCCCCTGGGTAACTCGGCTAGTAATTTTATAACGATTAATATAAGACTAACGAATTATGTAGAAAAAAAAAAACAAAGCATTTGAATAAATCAGCTAAACATGGGGGTCTGCCGTGTGAGATTTAATAGTTTAACTCCTTCATTCATCGAGGGGCTCATGGAGATGGCGCGACCCGTAACCGCGGGACGGTGCGCGTTTGGCCGGTAGACAGCGCTGCGTTTGGCGAGGCGGAAAAAAAACTACCGCCGCCGCTGCCGTCCGTCGTGCGTTTGGGCGCGCGGTGTTGCCGGACCGTTGCGCGTTAACAGCATTTTCGTTTACTACCATACCGTCCATTAGTACCGCAGCGCCGACCGTACAGTGTGGACCGCGGTTATTGTCGCGCGTTTTTCGTCACCGCCGCCGCTGTCGTTGTATCGGTTACAATATTTATCTTTTTGTTTTTCGAAATTATTTTACCTTTTATTTTTTTTACACCGGACATTGTGTGTGTGTGTGCGTCGCACGCGTATAACAAAAAAAACAAAAAAAAATAAAACATATATACACATAATCGGGGTTCGACCGTATCGGTTATATTGTGAATAATAATAGTAAAATATATATTGATAAAAATACAATATTATATACCTACCTATATATTTTGTTTTTAAATGGTTCGTTGCGGCCATCGACGTCGCCATGTCTCGGTCGCCGCCAGCCGGATGATGAAGACCCAAAGGATCACCGCCGGCCTGGACTGTTAGCCGCAGGATAATAATATTATTATACACATTTTTCTCTTTCTCTCAGATATAAATATTGTTTGATTTTTGAAATCGTTCGCCACGATCGGTTTATCGAGCCCGGATGCCGCTGAAGCCGTCGCGACGTTTAATTTAAATTAAAACGATATAATATTTATAAAATTATTTTCAATTTTACCATTCATATTCCACGACTCGAACGTCGTTTTCGTTAAAAATAGTCAAGTATCCTAATTTAATAAACATTAAACTAATCTGAACCGCCATGGTGCTTTTCGACGACCTGTTCGGTTTCCCGGCCATACCCAGGTGCCTGAGGCCTTTCTCCGCTGCCAGGGGTCCGACTTCTGTAAGGGGCACCATGTCTTGCACGAAGATCACCTCTTGTCTCACCCTAGTGCTGTTGATATGCTTCGAGACGGTTTTGCTGTCGACGGTCAGCGATTGTACCAAGTCCTTCACCGTACACTGGAACACGTCCAATTCAATGTGAGTAAAAAATTTTAAAAATCATAATAATTTAAACATTTCTATCCCAACATATACAGTCTTTATTGTTTTATTTTTTTTTTTTTTGGGAGGGGGGAAAGGGATTTTACCCCAAAATAATACAGCCGCACGTCGGTCGTGTTTGTACCCCAGTATTCATAGTATTGGATGGCTCACTGCTAATGTGTGTTTTGCATTGCACTGGGTACTCGCCGGCCGGTCGTCATTGACCATATTTTTATAATAATAAAATAACGATAACAACAATATAATATTAATACTTGAATAATTATAGATACCTATATGTATTTTCATACATATTTTGTAGTCGCCGGTTTATTTTTAAATGGCGAACAACGACGATGTGATAGTAATAAAACTGCTGTGATAGTGTTAGCATTTTCCACCCTATGTGATTTTATAATAGCGTTATAGTAATACGAACGGCTATTATACCGTTTTCGTCGTCGTTGTCGTTGTTGGTGTTATCAAAAAACATGTCGTGATAAGGATTTTGAACGCGCGCGGTACACTTAACGTCATGAGGAGGAACCCGTGAGAAACAATGAAACCAGTTTTTACACATACAATACAATACAATATTTCAACGTAACCGGTAAACCACGTTATTTATGGGCGTACTCTTTAAGGTGCATTATAATATCGTGTACATAATATATTATTAAAGACACGTTATAATCGGGGTACATTGGTGGTAGGCAGGTACGCCCAAGTAATTATTATTGTTATTCTTTTGTGCGCCGGACTAATGTCTTAGGTATGCGATAATTAAAAAATTACATTTTTCTTTACCGATTTCCAGTATTTACACAGTCGACGCCATTACAGGTAACGGTGTGTGTGTGTGTGTACCATATAAATAGTTTAAAAGAGTAATTTCCGTGAGAAACGCCATTCATCGGTTTGTAGGTATGAAAATAGATTTTATTTTTAACATATTATCATACCCGTTTATTAAGTCGGTTATAATATTCTTATTCTACTCGTCGGACAGTGTCCGCCTCGAGTCATAAGGCTCGCGTGCTAGCGTAATATAATAATATATGATATTATTATAATAAATATGGGAAACTCGTGGAAGAGACTGAAATATCCGACCTGACCGCTACCGAGGACATAGTTTTTCCGGTGCCAGATACAGTTGATATTATTATTATAATAGTACAATATTATGTTTGACCCGAAGCTAAATAAAAGAAGAGTCCTCTGGGTTGGTTCTTAGTAAATCCTCGGTCTCGACTGCGGTCGGATTTGCAGGGATATAATAAATAATAATATGGCGTTTGGCGAGTTCATTGTTTGCCTTCGGGACGCAATCCCCGATAGGTTTTTTTGTGGAAAATAATAATGTTGTTGAAGTAAATATTATTAAAAATGACATTATCTCTGCGCGTTTCCCGATGTAGAAAATATACTATTATGTCCGGCCGTTGGATTTTGCAAAACTCCGGTTTGCATCCCATCGGTTCTTATTTATCAATAATAGACACTTAACGCATGTTGTACACATCATGTGTTGCACTTATTACAAATAAGAATGTCGGTTAACGGCGCGCGCGCTATTAAACGTTTGTCGTCGTCCGGTCTAATAGTTTAAAGCATAATATTAATAATACTAATTTCTCAAAATTCGTTTCGGTTTTCCACTTTTTATGGCCTCGTCCGTACTTTTTTTTTTGTAGTCGCATAAAAAATGATTATCCGTCAGTCCGCGGTTTTATATTATTGAAATCTCTGGGCCGCGACCATAACTGCTATACACAACCACACAGGATGAGGATGAGGATGTACGGTTACAGACTTTTTAATAACCTATACCGTGTTGGAGTATTGTAAATTGGACAGACGACCTAAAAAAAAAAAAAAAACAACACGAGGAATACAACTTGAAACAAATGAGCGTCGTTATCGTTGTGTCCCGGCGTTCAAACCCTATCGTCGTGCGATAGCGTTTGAACGCTTTTCTGAAAAGGGTATTCATTTTCAAAGTGATAATTATTAATTTATATGATAACATTAGCGACGGATCTTCGGTGTAGGATCTCGTCGACACAAATAATTTAAACCGCCCTATAATGCGCTATAACGCTTATATTAATGAGTTTAATGATGTTCGATGTTATAGTGAACTGTTACTTCAACATCTATAGCATAATGCACAGTAGACACGGAAATCAAATAACTCTCAGAACACAGTCAAATAAATAAGGGTATAAATGTATTCGATAAAACCTAATAATTTCAATTGAGGTTAAGTGGCGTGGTGGAATAATTGCAACTTTTAGAGATAGTGCGACTGCTAAGTAATAATTAAATATAGTAAATTTTGATAACCACCTGATTTTAAGGGTTATAACATAAAATAAATTCTAAAAAATATTATTTTATATAAAATTATTCAGCTGTACTCATCCCATTCAATTAAAGCTACTCTTCTTCACCTTCACCAGAATATTTCATGGCTAAATTTTAATCCAATCGACAAAAATAATACAGCTAATATTAAATATTTTCAATGTAGTGCCTTGAAATGTTACTTAATCGTGTTTGGCGTTACCTAACCTGACTGACCTAGACTTGTAAATCGTTTTTCGTCGGTTTCTCGGTCGTGCAGTTTGGTTTGTTCTTGCATGTACCGTTCTTAAGCGCGGTCGGCGCTATCTTAGATTCTCGTCATTTTGTAAACACTTTTAAAAGTCGCATTTTCCGAATGATTGATCGCTCCAAAAGACATTACCCTATACCGTCGCTTCGATGCAGAACTTAAACAATTTGAAACTTTTGTTTTCGCATCAACCTCGTTTAGGAGGTCACTTCGGGCTAGCTGTAATGACCGCTTAAGTCGCGCGGCCCCCGTTACAATACTTACAATGTGTTATATTAGTATAACGTGAAAACATTGTAGACTAGTTTTTTGCGTTGCAGACAGGCGGTTTTCTTTGAAACACCACAAACCCAGTGCCGGTATTATATTAATTATATTCCAATAATATGATAATGATGATGATGATGGCGGTACAGTAATGTAGCGTATCGTTTATAGTGTAATTTTTATTTTATTTTACCGATAAGTAACATTATTCTCCGACCGACTCGGTGCATGCACGGACGTATGTATGTTCCTATACTATATGCACGTGTGTGTGTGTGTGTGTGTGTGTAACCGGTTTCTTACGATCCGTTGGTTGGAGAGTCAGTGTGTGCGCGAGGTTAACCTTGGGAATTTGATGAATGTTCATGATTCTTCGGTTTGCTCCTCCTTGTGCACCATAGTCCATACACCGTATTATAAGAGGTCTCCGGCTTCGAGATAATACAAGCGGTATATATAGAGAAAGAGAGTATGACTTTTTTTTTAAATATATATATATATATATATATATATATATATATACCTACCTACCTATCTTTTAGAACGTTACTGCACCCACCCTCATTATTCTTCACCTTCTTCTTCCTTCCGTCGCTTGTGTGTGTGTGTGTGTGTTTGTTATGGATCGATAGGTTTTCCGTGATAAGACCGGCACCGGCCGTGATTTATATTTATACTTAGCCGAATATACTTACCGGATTTGTACAATCCATATAACTCGATGTGTTTATAGAGGTACCGGTTGGACGTCGAGCCGTGAGAAAAATGCCTTACTAAAACGCTCCGAGCGAAAAATAATACAACTTTTTTCAACTTCATTTATAGAATATACTTAGGACGATATACTTATAGGAGATCCCTGTGATAAGAAAAATCATTTTCTGCTATGTGAACAATGCAATGAGATGAAATGCAATGAGATCTACAAAACTGTTTGGCTTGAGTGTGTGCAACCGCTGGGTTTTAAACAATTTGAGTAATTTTGTTTGAAAAAAAAAACGATTTTGTTAAGTCCACTGTCGGGTCACTCGGTTTTTACCGTCGTCACTTAGGTATATACATGCATAGTATATTAATACACGTGTCCGCCCACCGGTTCGGGTTTAGGGTGGACACGGAAGACGTCGACTGTGGCTGAGAATTGCGTTTTGTGCTATGTCATAACAATAATAATGTATACATAAAAAAAAAAAAAATAATAAAGCACCGACGAATAAGCCAGCCGCAAGAAGAGGTTTTGGAAAACGATGCTTGAGACGATAAATATTCGTGAATTTTTTGTTTTATACATTTTATTGCTACATTGACAACGATGGCACAAGCTTAGGCATTTTTTTCGTCTTCTTCGGGACAGAAAAAATTATTTTTATTTTTTACGAGGGTAAAAAAAAATACGAAAAAGAATCCGTTAGGATTATTGTTGTAAGTATTACGGCTTGCAGTTGTATGATATAAGTTTTATTTTAACGACCCGGCAAAGAGTTGTCTGGTAAAACGCATCTCGTAAAACGCGCGTCCGACATTCCCATTCGCCTATAAAATATAATATTATACTATACTTAACGGACTAATGCAATTTACATGCCTTTATGCCTGTACTGCTAACGTATCCGAACAGATAAACAATGCCTATCACCCTTTCACTGTACATGTATATGTAATTGTATTAAGCACACACACAAATAATTAACCGAATTTTTTAGTTGCCGCCAGCCATTGTGATTGTTTGGGTTCTCTTTAGCCCTTTTAGCTTAGTGCATAATGTACAACATTTGCTGTGTATATTGTAAACGGATTATTGATTTTATTCGGCAGGCGTACATTGTACTTACGTTCAACACATACGGGCCCGTTCTCTTTTATTATTATTATTTGTTTAATCGTTTAACAGTACACGAGGTTAATTTTGCGCAGATCTACACTTGCTGTTTAAATGTGTTGTGCTTTTTACATATGTTGTGAGCAGTTTACTGGGGGCCGCTTCCAGAGAGTTGCATTATTTTCATAATCCATTTAAATTGTACTCTGTTAAATAGAAATTTTTCATCCGTAATCAAGTTAATGGAAGGGGAGGGATCGATTCGGACGAGTAAGTCTTTGATGGATC